AYWCTCTCCATTTTTTGACGATTTTACACAATTTATGCATAAAAATGGGTTGTGCATGCCTAATAAATTAAATTATCATAATATACGTACACTTTACAAGTGTACAGAGTATCTATATAATGAAGTATAGACATAATGTTTAAACGAGTTTTGTTTTATAATTTATATCATTCTGTTTCTTTTTCTTTTTCAGATAGACTCATCGACTGATAGATTAAATGTATACGCTTCCTTTATTAATTTCCCCCGGATATCATCCAACGTACAATCACGTGGTCTGTGCATGCGTGTGCGTATGTGGGTTGGTGTACAGTACTTATTGGGACGAGTGTTTCATTTCCGACAGCGACATAATAATGATATGATATTCTACTATATACGCGTCGCCGCCGTGTTATCTCTCGCGTCACTTTTTTTTTATTATAATTTATATTTATATCGTAACAATATTATCGTGTAAAATAAGTTATATATTTTTTTAATATTATTACTCAGCCTATATACGTATATAATAGCGCGATGTACATGATAGTAGGTACCTACTACCATTGTATCGTGTGTGTTCTCGTCGGGAAAAAAATTGTAATTTTTTTTTTGTTAACGCCTGTACAAAATAGATGCCAATTTTTAGTTTTATACGTGTATATTTGAAGCCTTCAATCAAACGGATTTATTATACTTTCTTGACCACACCACTCGACACGTTAAAGCTTTGCATTATATTATTTTTCACTTTTATTTGTCTTCTCTATAATATTATGTTGATTTGTCTAACACATTTTATCTTCTTGAACGAGCAATATAATATTTCCTTTTCTGTTTACTATTGTACTTCTTTAATTTTGGTGTTTGGGATATTTTCAAAGGGATAAAAAGGATCGCCTCCAATTGCAAACGTTTAGACAATCTTCCATTGACATTTTTAGTATAGAATCATTCACTCTTCTTACTTCTCACTCCACGCTCACTTAATTTGTCAAAAGCCTTTTATTTACCTTTATTTTTTAGTCAATTTGAGTATCAAAACGTTTATGCTATTCGATGCGATCATTATGTATTGTTTTAAGTCTTTTTGTATACAATGATTATTATTATTATTATTATTATATACTATCATTAAGTAGTTTGTGATTTAATATTTATGCCATTTTATAAAATTATAATTTGCCAATGAATCCGCTGATCTATTATTATATGCGTATACGTATTGATGATGTCAAATAAATATGTAGGCATATAATATTAAGTTAATCTAATTAGCGTATAAGAAAAATATGTACGATAAATAGTTATTAAATACACACGAGAAGAATATATACAGTCATTATATTATACTTTTATTATTATTATTATATTGCTAGTACGACTATCGTTAATATATTATATTATATATATTATGATTATAAAAAATATGAATATATTTTACGAAAAAATCAGTATAACGATATAGAAGACATTATAACGTTTTATTGTGATCTCTCGTATGCTTGTAAGATTATTTTTTATAGACTAATCAATGTTAACGACGAAGATATAACCAAATCGTTATTTATCGAATTTTAGATCTTATATAATACTTAACCACATATGGTACACGTATATTGTAACAGTATAGATATTAAAAGTTATAACAGTTTGATATTTAAAAAAATTATTATTATTAATGTTCAATGTCGTACCATTTTATTGTTATCCAAAATAATGTGAAGATGTATAATATTTTTACCGATAGAAATACTTTTTATAGTTCGTCAAAAAAAAAAAA